GAATGACCGCCGCGGCCCTCTCCGCTCGCCCCGCCCCCGGGCCCGCCCCGGCGTCGCTTCAATGCCGGGCCCCTATCTGTTCGTCCTCGCTCCGTCGCGTCCGTGCCGCTTACCGATGGTGACGCTTTTCTTCGACCTGTGGAGGGACCCCTGGCAGAACTCACGAGTTTATACAAACTAAGTGCAGTACTGGCTAGAGGAAAAGCCACCCCCAGAGCCATGATCTGTGCGCCTCCTTCAGCCCCCTCACGATACGGCTTCACTTTCGCGCCCTCCCTACAGACACTAAAAAATTTTAAGTCCTCCTGCCCTCCCCGAGCTCAGATCTTGCCGCCTGCTGTTTCTCACTCGCGTGTCTCACGGAACCAAGCCTGCTTTTCAGTCTCTCATCCTCCTTTCCTTCCCACCCTCACACCTCCCGCTAAGTAAAAGCGCAGAAATGTAGTCCTCTGACGCGCATGGTTTTGTTTCACTCATTTCCACATTTCAGAATAATTGCTCCTATTGAGCGTTTGCTGAGTTATCGTAGGAGTGGCTTACACGCCTTCAAAGTCATCCCTCGAGCCGGGCGTGGTGGCGCACGCCTGTCATCCCAGCACTCATGAGGTTGAGGCAGGAGGATCGCTGTTAGTTCCACACCAGCCTGGGCTACACAGTGAGTTCCAGTCTCCACTACATAGTAAGACGCTGTCTCAAAAAAAAAAAAAAAGTCACCCCTGACCCTGTCCTTCCAGGGAAGTCGTCCTTTCCAGTGTGTTACGGAAGTGTTCGTGTGGGTTCCGGGAAGTGAGGTCAAGGTCACACAGGAGGAGGACAGGCAAGGTGCGAACCTGAACCTGAATACACACTCTTCATCTCAGAATATGTCAAAAGACTAAGAACAAAATTATCTCCTTTCACATCATGGCTCTAGAATTAGAAATTTTAGTCCATAAAATAGAATGAGCTTTTTTATGAGCTGAACACAGGAAGTCCATCTTATGGATAGGAAAGGGCTGAGGAAAGTAGAAACAGGAAACAAGCTGGTTGGTTGTCTCAAAGTCACTTTCCTTGTAAAAGTTCGAGGCAACTTGCTCACCGTGTTGGCTAAAACTGGCCTGTTTTGAAAATTTGATTATTTGCTCTCAGAAGTTCACATGAACAGCCTATTTCAGGATGGTGACAGAAATGTTAGCCTGAATGACTCCATTTTGGTCTTCTGGGTCCTAGTATATAAATTAATATACAGCCTGAGAAGAATTGGATCCTCACAGAAGTCAGCATAAAAAAGTAAAGACATCAGGACTGTGGCTGGAGGCAAATCTGAACAGAATCAGGCCTCGGGATGGCCCTGCAATAGCAAATCCTGCAGCCTCCCTAGAGATAAACAGAAACAAGATTATACTGTAATTAGCATTACCTGGTCCAGGAGGCCCAGATAGGTATCACACTCTTAGGTGGCTAACCAGAACAACAGGATCCATACTCCTCTCCCTCCCTAAAATACTTTGCTCTTCCCAGATACCTTTGCTATGTGACTCATTTCCCTATTGGATCAATATTAGTTAAATGGCTATCTTAGAATCCTGTAGGCTGATTGTAGTCTGACTCATACCACGTTGCAACACAAAATTACCCCTGACAAAGGGCCTCGGTGGTGCTATCTTTTGGGACCTCTGCTGTCTCTCAATAATCTTTTTTTATCAATTTTTTTCAGATTTTTTTTTAATGGTACCAGGGATCGAACTCAGGCCCTTGCACTTGCGAGGCAGGCAGTGGAACCACTGAGCCAAATCCCCGCCCATATTTTTCTTTTTCTTTTTTTTCTTGGTACTGGTGATCGAACTTAAACCCTTGTGTTTGCGAGGCAGGCAGCGTCTCTCAACCTTAATAAATCTTTTCTACTCTTTTTTTTTTTTTGGTTTTTTGAGACAGGGTCTCACTATGTAGTTGAGATTGACCTGGAACTCACTGTGTAGCTCAGGCTGGTCTCGAACTCACAGCGATCCTCCTGCCTCAGCCTCCTGAGTGCTGGGATTACAGGCATGCACCACTCGGCTTCTATTCTTGATCTTAACCTCCTTTGTCCCTTGGAATTCATTCTTCAATATTTGGGGGCCACAGGCTTGATACATTTGACATCTAGTAGGTTGGAATTTTTATTTTTCCTATATCCCTAGTACAGGAGTTCAATCCAAAATAAATGACTTCCTCTGGCTTTGGTTTAACAAGTGTAATCATTGAGCAGGAAAACCTTAGCATCAGGGCTGGGATGTAGCTCAGTACTAGAGCACTTGCCCTCAGTTCCACCCAGACACTTTATCTCCATTATTTCATTTATTACACATTTTCTGGAAGCCTCTACTTGTGAAGATCAAAGCAGACACGGGGAATATAGAGATAAACAACAGAAGTTGAAGCCCTTGCCCTTTCCAGATGTGGTGGCGCACCCCTGTAATCCCAGCACTCAGGAGGCTGAGGCAGGAGGATCACTGCAAGTTCGAGGCCAGCCTGAGCTATATAGTGAGTTCAAGGCCAGCACAAGCTACAAAGCAAGATCCTGTCTAAAAAACAAATAAACTAAAATTTAAAAAACCCTGCCTTCAGGAGCTCACATTCCAGTGGGAAGAGACAAGTGATAATATAAATTTTAAAAAGTATGTTAGTAATAAACACAAAAGAGGGAGGAAAAAAACTAAAACCACGGCAGGGAGAAATGAAATTGCTTTCCTTATATCCTCAAGGGATCTATCTCACCGGCTCAAAGAAAGTTTATTTCATCCACCTGTGCCTCCCTTCCCTCTTCCCCGCGCCCCCCCCCCTTCCCTTTCCTGTGCCTAAGTCCCGGCCTGGCACATTCCGGGATGAAACTTTTACTGAGAAACGAGATTAGACACCCTAGATTTTAGGCCTTAGTCACGTTCCTGTTCCTCTCTGGGCCTCAGCATATGGAGGAAATGGGCTGGAAAAGATCCCTAAGGTCCCTTCCAACTCTGACGCTCTAGGATTCTATGAATAGGGTTAAAGAGCACAGGGACCAGCGATTGCTTCCCCACCCTAGCAACCGTTGCTACCACAGGGCCACCTCCCGGTAGGAGTGGAAACCCCTCCCTAGATCAGGAGGTCTTCCTGGCATCCCGTGATGCATAGCGACATTGCCTCGCTAGGAGGCACGTTTTGGCCTCTTTGGTCACGATCATCTCTTTTGGAACCAGCCGAAGAGCGCGCCTTGTTTCTATAGCAACCGCGCCCGGTCAACACGCTGACGGCAAGTGCCAAGGGTCAAGACAGATTCGCAAAGTAGAAGCCCAAGTATGCCTTCGTTGCCAGGCCCTTTAAATATCACATGACTAGCCTAGGCTCGGTCCCCGCCTCTTTCCCCCTCCCAAGTCCGGGCTAAAGCTGGTGCGAACGGGAAGCTCCCGGCCCGGCGGACTAACTGGAGCACCGACGCTGCAGCCGGTTGGGCCAGTGCCCTTTCCCGGTAATTCTTTCCCGGCGTGAAGCGCGGAGCCGCGGACGCGGCGGGCCCGGGAAAGCTCAGGGGTCTCCCGTCGGCTCCTTCCCGTGCCCAGTCCCCGCTGG